AGTCCCTTAAAGTATAGGGTTTGCAAGCATTATTCAGAAATCCTAGTCGGTACACTTCGATTTAAGTAGGCAAGGCTGCTCATTTTTTATACTCTGATCTGCATGCAAGATTATCAGCTTAGTTTTTTTCATTCTAACTTAGCAAGCACCCACATTTTAAGGCTTTAGTAAGGCATTTTCTGATAGGTTCAAGGAAAAAAAAGCTAAGTAAAATGAAATAAAGTAAAGAAAGCTCATCTGGGATAAATTTCACAAGTTCTAATCAAATTACTCTCTTCTCATAACCTGGTTGCTTGAAAATTGTTAAAAAATTTAAGAGAATATAGAACTCAATCACTGTAGAGGTGAAACAACTGACTGATCAGGATACTCAAAGGGGTACTTCTAGTTACCATGGATTTATACAGCTTGTTTGTTGAATATCAATTTATTTCAAGTTATTTGATCAATTTGGTAGGGGAATTAGTGATTTTTTATTCGGGCAATATTTGATTATAGATTTTTATAAAATGTATTCCGCCAATATGATAAAAAATTAACGTGTACTCAAGCAGCCTCAGTGGCTGCTGGCACCTAATTTTTGCTCTTGGGCAACAAGAAAAAGCACGGGGCTCCCTTCAATTTTTCATAGAGCTTATCCTTAAAAAATATGTTACTTTTGCTAACTTTATTTTGTATGTTTTTTTAAAGGACATTTAAATAATAGGCAATCAAATATTTTGTTACGTTGTATGATCAGTTGACATTTCATAAATTTTATTATTCTAAATTTCAGTTGACTGGTGGCATAGTTTGACAATTGGGTGCGTTGCTAAGGAATCTGGTTGTAATTTGAATGAATTTCACTACTTGTGACACATCATTACTGAATAGGAGCAGGCCAGTTCTTCTAATGAAATATTGCCATAAGAAAACAACGAAAAGTCATTCTCAGTACGATTTATATCCATTAAAGTTTAACTGAACTTGACTTGTATTCAGCATATTATTTGTGGCAGATTGATGACAAAGTTTCAAATTGAAAAATGTGACTTGGATGTATGGTTCAAATTTATCTTTGTTTTATTTTATTATTTCCATGCAGACATGTTTATGCTGCATACGTGATGGTGTATGATAAAACAAAGAAAAATAATAAAACCCTTAAATTGAACTGCAAAAAATCCCAACCAAATCACTTTTCACTTCTAATATTTCTGAACTGTGAAGAAATTCTCTAAAGCCATTAAAAATGGAGCTTGATATAAAAACTTTGTGGTGCTTGCTTTGAGAGTCATAAACTGCAACTTTTATTTATATATTCCCATCCAAGTCATTTTCACTAAAATTACAGTATACATCATGTGGAACCCTGCTAATATGACACAATTCTTGGGGCATGGGGCATGAAATTTATGGTTTGGTCATATCAATGGCATTGATAATAAGCTTTTCTGAAGTCTAATATTTGATTGCAAACATACCATCTTGCAGTTCTTAACGTCAATGTGCAAGGATATGACACTATGGATTGTTTGAATGCTCTTTTTTTACATTGTTACTGATCTTTGGTTGACATTCAGCAAAAAGACATTTGATAAATACAGTTGAACTTCTATTAAGCAACCACCCTTGGGGTGCCAGCAAAAGAGGCTGGTGGCTCAATAGAGGAATGTCATAATTGAGCATAATGTGATGGGAGAAGCAATACTGGTCCACAGTCTGTTGTCACCTTCTCTCTTGGACTTTATTTTCTTAAATTAAAGCCAAACCAAGTGTATCAAGCTTAATAGAGGTGAAAACAATGGAATATAAACTCTTCTTAGAGGGGCCAAAAGGTGGCCACAGCCGCTTAATAGAGGTTTAATTCCCCATTCTTTTCTGCATTTATTTTGGGACATTTATTTACTGGCCACTTAATAGAGAGTGGCTGCTTAATGGAGGGCCAACTGTAACTGTCTTGATTACCTTCATTAGGCATTTTAGGAAACAAATTAACATGGTAAAATTGTGAAGGAAAGATCAACAAGAGAGTCTGAATGGTAGCTGTTGGGTGCATGTGGTATACATGTGTTATGGGTGGTCTGGAAAGACTAGGAATGGCTAGGTTTTGATGGTTTAGAAAAAAATAATAGTCCCAGTAAAGGACATGTGCGCACTAACTATGAATAGGCTGTTCTCCAGTAACCATAAAAAAAGCACTTTTACTCAACAGAGCAGTTTGTTTTCTGACTGATCTTTATTATTAATGTAACTTAAATATTGTTTTATACAGGCCAAAGATGACACAGAATGGTGGCAACAGACTGATATGTGATGAGATTGTAAGGTATGGATAATTAGAGGCAACTCTAATCGCAATCAAATTCTTGTAAATCTAAAACTGTCAACCCAACACACAGCATTTTGTGGTGACACAAAGAACGGCTGCATAGGAAATTATCCCAATATTTTACATGTATTTTATTCAATAATGGGTTAAACAGACTGAGGGACTGGCTGGCTTAACCTGTTGTTTTGAAAATGAGATAGACCCTGATTTTTCAAGAGTTTTTTTTCTAAAAACCCATTACTGCCAATGCCTACATCCTGCTTGAAAGTTCTGATGGATTAAGTGGAATTCTCATTATAATTTGACTGGTGTGGCAAGCCAGTTCTGACTAACGTGGTGTTGAATCCTGGGGGAGTACTCAACAAATTTTTATACAGGGAGGTTCCGCTTCAAGGTCCAACTACTTGTATTGTTGTTGTATCCTTTCACAAATAATACCATTTTTGACAGAAATAGTACCCTTTCATACTTTCTTTTGACAAGTGACAACCCTTTTCCATGCCTAGTTTTGAACTTTGCATCTCTTTTAACTGCTGTAAATGCGATGTCTTTTAGTTATGAACAATTCAGAATCCTAGAATATTTCTCGATGTTTTCACAACCACAGAATGCATCTTTCTACAGACCAAAATGACAGATTAATTTCCCTACCGTTCTGTATACTGTATTTCCTCGAATAATAGCCAGGGGCAAATATTGATTTTTCGCATCAAAAGAGAGCGATTATTTGCGGGTAGGCAATTATTTGAGGGAAACGATTATTTCAAATATTTCTCACTGGAAGTTCTGCCCTTAATATTTTGTTGTATTTTCCCATTAAATCAAAAAAATTATCACTTCAAAAAAACTGAACATGTGCTTTTAGTGTTCCAAATTAATTTTGGTTCCTTGATTTATTTTCAGTGCTTGAACCATCACTGATCAGTTTTGCTGGATCAGATTCCACTTCAACCTGACAGGGAGGGGATAAAAGAAAGGGAAGATGGCAAGAGGGGAAGGAGGGGGCAATTATTCAGGGGAGGCGATTATTTTATATATTTCCATCAAAGGGGGGCGATTGTTCGAGGCAGGCAATTAATCAAGTGATGGCTATTATTCAAGGAAATACGGTACTTGAACTAGTATAATCTCTACCACTTCATATATATCTGAGGCCTGAAAAAGGTACCTCTTCTGGGCAGAGCCTAGAGCTCCGTATAGGCCATTATAGGAAGTACCCCCTGGGCATTGAATGCTACACTTTGATTGAATTGTGCTTTGTCTAGCTGGTGATGATAAAGAGAATAACGACAGGATGAATAATGACAGGATGTTATTATTTCTTCTTCAGAACCCTAGAGCCTCTTCAGTTTAAACAGCTTTGCGCTAGAATGCCGACAGCTGTGGCTGGAGAAAATGAAGAAACAGCAGCTAGAAGATTGGAGGAACAGAAAGAAAGAGCAAAGAAACTAGAACAACGATCTGCTCTTGAAATTGGGCTCAATCAAGTAATGAGAGCATTAGAAAAAGGGACTCTCAGATTAGTGCTGGTAAGTTTGTCTTTTCAAAGCAAATAATATTGAAGTTGTGACCACTTGCCACAAAAGTGTATGTTACTTGAAAATTGATATAAAGTTCATGTCAATAATCAGGGATATCACTAAGATGTCAAGTTGCCAGGTAAATACAATAAGTAGGCAGGGAATTAAATAGCTGAGGATTTCTTTTGGTTCTATTATCCTTCTATTTTCTCATGAAAGTAGCCAGGGGCCACATTCATAAGAGCTGGCGGAAATCACCAGCCTCTTAACGACAGCCCTGAATGATATCTATAACTTAAAGTGCTGCGACTGTGAAGCATCATACTTTCATTGTCTCACAAGTTTATCTGTTCAAAGATTCTTAAGTACTTGAAGAAGCTGTGTCACGGCTGGCTAGTTCATCCTCTTAAAAATGCCAACTACGCTTCCTGATTTGCTATGGAACTACTTGAGAAATTACTTCCTAATGACAAAAATATCACAGCTTCATGTCAATCAAATATGTCTCCGAAGCATTATATCAAACATTGTAAATAACAAGCAAGAATTTGAAAATTCTGTTAGTCTTCAACAAATTTTCAAACATCACAATTGCAGTCTGTTTCAATCTTCTTCAAGTTTATCCATCCCTATCTCTTTTTTTTGCATTTGCTGTGTTATTTTACCTTCTCTGAATGTTTTGAGTGGTTATTTTTATGTTTCAGTCGCCCAGTTTTGTGGCGGTTCCTACTGTTTGAATTAATGTTTTTGATAAATTGTTTGTGACACAGCTCCTTTAATACATGTAAGTTATTTTAGTTATTCTGCTTTAAGTGTCCACTGCCTAACAGCATCAACTGACTACATTATCTCTACATTTTGGTCGTGGCATCTTTTATTACGCTTTTCCATTAAAACAGATGGGACTGGAACCTTACAATTAATTACTTGTAAAATATGTAACTATTACATCTGTTTATAAGAACAGCATTTGGTTTTTGATTTGCAATTCACCCTACGCGTACACCTCAATAATGAAGCATGGTCTTTTAAGCCAACATTGCCCCGTGTCTATCTAGCTTGCTGGCTCATCCTCAGTGTAAGAACCTGTAAAACTTATGAGTGACGTAAAGCAAAGGAAACAAAGAATAGAACCTAGGAAAACAAAAGGTGTTAAACAAAGAAAACGTTCTTACAGGTTCTTACAATGAGGTAAACCCAGGTTGATGGATCAATGGAGCCCACTACAAACATTACCATTAATTCATTTTAAGCCAGCATGACCCCATGCATGTCTATCTATGTTGATGGATCAATGAAGCCTACTACAAAGTTACCATTTATTTATTTGAAGCCAACATTATCCCATGTCACTCTATCTATGTTGATGGATCAATGAAGCCTACTACAAAATTACCATTAATTCATTTGAAGCCAACATTATTCCATGTCTATCTAGGTTGATGGATCAATTAAGCCTACTACGCTGTTAGAGCACCTACTTGTACTGTGTGTAACGCGCAATACTCCTGCCTGTGCACTTGTTGGCATGGGATTGTCTGCAATTCCAAAATTATTAGGGGTCCGTAGAGTTGCAGCCTTTGGATTCAAGGTAAACTTGCTTATTGTTCTCCTGAACACAGGACTCAAATAGTGAAATACAGTTGTATTTTAGTATTAATTTTTTTTAAAGTGGAATCTCTCCTTATGGACACTCTTGTAAGCGGACAGCTCTCCTAACAGCTCATAATTTATCATAACCCTGGCTCATAATCCTATTTTTCTCAACTCCCATTCAAACTCTGTATTTTTACATTCCTGTAAGTGGCCAGCTCCAGTTACAGACACCTTTTTCACATCCTGAGGGAGTCCGCTCACAAGAGCTTCCACTGTATTACGTTTTTGGGAACAAAATTCTATACTATTACAAATTATTCACTGAGACCTCTTCAGCAGTCCTTGATACTTTTATTTTGCTTTTCCTTAGTGTCCATTTTTATAAAATGAAATTTTCCTATTTTTATTATTATTACCTTATTGGGGGTCTCTTCTAGTAATAAGAAGGGATCAAACAGTAGTACAGTAATTTATTTTATTGGAATTTGTTTTAAATAACAACTTACAAGTAAATACTGGTACCTTTTCTATGCTATGGTACAATCTACATACAGCTTCGTACAAGTTAATGAAAGTAAATGTTATTGTTGTCAGATGCAAATATTATTGAACGTGTTTCAGAAATAAAATAATGCAAAGAAGAAAATCACAGTATAAGAAGCCACTTATTTAAAAAGAAGGCCTGAAAAAATTCAGGCTTACTGGCATGCAAACTCTGACCCCTGCAATACCAGTGTAGCACTCTAACCAATATCAGCTAGCAAGCCAACTGGGAGCTGACCATTTAACTGGTTCGTTTCCCACAATGCAACTTATTCGCCTGCCCCCCCATCCCCCCAACCCCCGAAATTTTGTGTAGCGTAGTTTTGGGTGTTACAGCTGTCCCAAGAGAAATTGAAAACAATGCTTATGCAAAATTTTGGGGGGCAAATAAGGTGCATTATGGGAAATGTGGAAGTAGCATATACCCAGAAAAGATGAAGATGAAATGATAAATATACATGCAGAGCACTGCATGGCAGTATCACAGAGTTCAGGGTTCAAATCCCAGCAAGCATGAAGTTTTTCAGGTTTTCTTTTCGCAACTAGATAGATTGCATATTTAACTATGATGATCTTCTTGGCATTTATTTCATTCCACAGTTCCAATATATGAAATTCATATATTCATGATTTGGACATGTTCAGTATCACATATATATGTGAGGTGATAAGTGAGGATTTTGACAATTTTATGTTATTTTCAGCTCACTGATAAACCTACATTGTTTGATGAGCTGGTTCATTTTATCAAAGTTAGAATTCCGCCGCTCTATGTACCTTGGTTGCAACCCAGTAAGGATGTAAGTGAACAATCTGAAGAGGCTTACCATGAAGTTGATTCTGAGGATGAAAATTTGCCTGGTATTGAGAAAATGCATGAAAAACCACGAAAAAAAGTTAGAAAACTAACAAAGAATGCAGAAAAACTGAATACACAACCTTCAGTGATAAGAAATGTTGCGGTTGATACAGAAAGACTCGCAGAGAACTCAGGGATTGCATTAGAGTACACAGAAAACCCAAAAGCGAATACTCCTGTAGGATTAGAAAACACAGGACAACCAGGAAAAGAACAGCTACCTGACGAGGAACTAAAGGAAGTTCGTGGTACCATTGATAATCCTACTCCTGGTTTCAAAAGGGATAGTCCTGCGCCCGAGAATGAAAAAATAGGAAAGAAAAAGAGAAGGAGAAGAAACAGAAAAAACAAGGGGAAAAAAGAGACAAGTGAGGCACCAATGCAACTGGTGTATCTTAAACCTTGTATTAAAAGTTTTGACACTTCACCCAAAGACAAAGGAGACCAGACAAAGTAAAATAAAAAATATATATTTATTATTTATTCTGTTGATGTAACAAGTTACTGGGTTTAATTGGCACAATAACAAACTCATTAATTATCTTGGCCATAGGGTAGAGTTAAATGTAAAATATAATTTCCTAAGCAAAATAATTAAAGACTTTAAAAGTGAACTGTCAGTCATTATTGTAGCTGTTACAGAAGGCGTGCGTGTTGTTTGCAGGGCCAATTTTTTGTGGTCGTGTGGCCACTATTTTCTTTTGTTTCAAACTCATTATCATACATTACCATACACAAAAACAAAAGAAAATAAAATTTAAACCAAGGATAAAATTGAACCACAACGTATGAAACATTTGAGAAAATGGCAAATCTCTCTCTCTATCCTTGGGCCAGTGCTATGTTCTGTATCGTATTTTTAAGCACATTTTTGGAAATAATGAGCGTTACTTGGCTTGTAAACTTGACATACCGTATTAACTCGAAAAAGTGCTGCAACGCTTTTCAAGCCTTAAATGCGGCGCTTATTCGAGGGCGGTGTTTATTTGAAAGTTGGACGCGGTATTATTATTTTCCGTTTTAACAGAATCAACGTCTCAATGCGGAGCTTATTTGAGTAAATATGGTAACTTGAAAAAAGTTATTAGAAGCCATGTCAGTGGCATACATAATGTGCTTCTTTTGTAGCACTGAAATCTAGACTAAGTTCAGTTCCAAAGTTCATTGGTTCACACGCTTTGAGCCATTTGGGTTGGTTCTCATGTATACCATGTCTCTGGTATCGCATCCAGACCGAAACGTTCAGGCTAAAGTTGCTTTTCCTTGTCCAGTGGAATTTTGACCAAAATCTCCTCCACGCGATTTAATGAATGTATCATATCTGAAAAACAAAATAACATTGTGGTGACCGTAAGTTCTAATGTAACAGTAACGCCCACAAAATTTCCTCTCTGAAATCACCATCACAGACCAAAGTCTAGAGTAATCCTCTTGGAACCTTCAAGGCATTTCACCACCCCCTGTGCTTTGTTTTTCCTCTTCACTTCTCATGGCACCGTTCACACTGTCTTCCCCGCCAGTAAAGGCTCCGAATAGCAGAGAAAAGAGGCCTCTGCTAACAGGGAACCACTGTCCAACACTCTTAACAAACCATGGCATCCAGGTTTTGATCGTCTAAAGTAGTCTCTTTTGTAGCCTCCCACGCGAACCTTCTTAGGGCTTCTTCTAAGAAAGTCCGCGTGGGAGGTTATCTTTTTTAGTTCCCTACTAATTTTCAAAAATAATATAAAACGAGGGAAGTGCGAGCGCGGGTAGGCGCGTTTCTTCTTTCCCCCCCCTCTCTCCTTTGCCATCGTCCTCTTCGTCGAGATGCCGTAATAGTCTCCCATGATTAGGGAGCTTAAGCAAAGGCGTTTTTGAGCGACACATGTCAACCGGAAGTGAGGCCTTCTCCCTTTTTATAGGCCTTGGCGCTAACAAATTTGTATTGCTAAGTTTCTTTTCTCTTATAAAGACGATTTACCCGAGAGTTTGAGCCAAACCACTGCCCAATGATGCAAAAAGTCCACTTCCGGTTGACGTCCGTCGCTCGAAATCGCTGTTGCTTTTAAGCTCCCTATTGTTCCGTTATCGGGCTCAAAAATAGTAAACTTACGCAACAGGACCGGAGAGGAAAGACGACAGCAAACCTTGTGCGACAAGCGTGACAATATTTTTGTTTGAAAAAACCTTCCGCAAAACTTCACATTCCTTTGAACAGATCTTTTTGTACAAGAGCAAAACGCATCAATGTTAAGTGACTTCCCGACAAAACACGCGAGTAATAGCCTCGTCACGTTTGTCCCACTCAAGCGGTTTGTCATCCTCTTGTTGAGTAAACTCCCTAACGATATAAGACGATTGGGGAGGAGTCAAACCAAGGCTGCAATTGACATGATTACCACCAGCATTCCACCAGCCTAGCCTTCTTCGCAGGCGTCAAAAGCAGTAGGGACGGGTAGGAGGTCGGGGAGACGGAAATTTGGAAGAGGGGATTGGGGAGAGGTTTCTCTTTACCCTTTCGCGCTTTTGCCCCTCCCCACCCCTTGCTTTTTGCGCCTGCCACGCAGGCTACCGCCACCAGCCCATAACAAGCACTTTAAGATGTTCAATACGTACATTGCCTGGTATTTACGCCTTTCGCTGTCGGACACGGAGGGGCCCATGGATGACGCAGCTTGTAGCAAATCAGACTGACTGATTTCTATTCCACCTGCTGGTTGTTGCTTTGATACTTCAGTGGCTGTCATCTACGAGGAGAGAAACAACGTTTAAACTTTTTATTCCTCTAATTCGTTGCAAAGGAATACTTGCTTTAAGGGGTTATCCAATTTTAAAAGAACGTCTTTTCGTTAGGGAAGAGCAGAGCAATATATTTAAAAGTGCAATAAGAATAATGGATTGCCCGCCTTCGTTAACATGGTGACCGGTCATTTCGCTAAAGTCCTGTTCGCTAACGCGGTAAGTCGTTTTGCAAATGAGCCAGGTCAAACAAATTGCTGCTTCACGGTTGGCGAAACGACCGTCAACTGTTTAGTCAGTGACCCTTACAAAGTCCAGCACAGAAAGTGCTGACTGGAACTGTATGATTGATTAATGTTGAACTCCGTGCATCCTAATGAGGGATAATCACTCTCGCTGAGATCTTGCTTTCAATTACAACCATCATTTATTATAATCCATTCTTATACCTTTTTATCACTCCCGTTCCGCTGTCGGAGATGTTCTTCGATAACCATAACCTAATAGAAAGGAATCAAATGTTAGCACTCTAGGCAACAAGAATTAAGACTATAGATTTCATTTTTACATGAATTTTTTCTTCGAAATTTTGTGCAAGTGAGTAAAATGTCCTACTAGCCAACCCGGCAAAAATTACCGTATTCAACTTTCAAATATCAATGCTTGGCGACTTCAATTATCAAAACTTTGTGCAACTAGCCCGTTCAGCCTGCCATATAGTCATACATACATTTTTTTTGTTCTTATAATGAAAACAGAAATATTCACCGATTATTTACTCATTCCGACTATGAACACGGATATTTAGCCTGCGATAACAGCTGTCTCTCCTCGCTTTTTCCCGCTAGGGACGTTTATCAAAACGTTCCTAGCGGCGAAAAGAGACGGCTGTTGTCGCAGACTAACGGATATTTCACTTACCTCGGAATACAGCTTTGTCAGTTCGTCTGATGAGACGTGTACAGGACCTTTTACCAAGTTAGGAATGTAAACAACCTTCTCTTTTATATCTTTATTTTGCAAACTGTCATTTTCATCATCTCCTCTTTCACTGTCCTTGTTAAACAGGCCTTTATACAGTTGACTATTGCTGGTGTTCCTGTGTATTGCCGCTAACTGGGCATTGTACAACAGGGCTTTCAAGTCCGCTCCGGTAAAGTTTTCACACATGTCTGAAATATCGGCTAGCTTCGTGTCCTTGGCCAAGAGAAGAGATCTTGATAGGGCTCGTAGGATTTCAAGTCTCTCTGACTGTAAAATGAATAACTAGATTCAGCCTAAAGTTATTGAAAATATCCACTTTTTGAAACAATTGTCCCAATTGTCTTGTTATTGTACAAGCATAATCGCCTTCGGTTTGAACTAGAAGTTTTCAATGTTATTCTAGAATACACACTTGAAACACATCCCAAACAGCAGGGACAATATCACACGATTCCTTCTAAGACTTAGTCTTTAAATGTGGAGGCGTAGGTAGTTTAATTTGAATCAGTTTAATATGAATATACAGTCGAAGCTCCCGTAAACAGTGGTCGCCAACGGGTGGTGGTCGCTTACGATTCGAATTGCTGGAGGTCTTTAAGAGAAGAAGTCGGGACACATCTACTTCATGGAGGAAATGTAATTATACAATTTCTAGGTTACAATATATGTAAGCCCATGTTGTTTCTGAAAGTTCTTCTCAAATACAAAGATTAGACTAGGCATTCCGCATTGTATAGAGGTGATGGCTTACAAGAGATGAAAAACAATGAAAAATTATAAAACCATCATTGTAAAAGTGGTTTCCGTCGATTGCGAGAGGTGATCGTTTACGAGGGTTACAGCTATAAGGCTTTGACTGGGAAAATGTTGTTGACTTGGATGAGTGGTCGCTTATATTATGGGAGGGGGTCGCTTACGAGAGGTGGTGGCACATGGAGGCTCGATTGTAATGCCAGATAAGACGTGCAAACAGAAAACAGCAGGGCTTGTGTCATCTCCAGGTCCCTTTACGCGTATGAGGCAACCAGTACTTATTCGGTTCATATTGTCCCACTTACAAAATTACCTTTTCTGGTATACCACAGTACAAACACTTGTCTAGTCTTCCTGGTCTGAGAAGAGCAGGGTCTATCAAATCTGGACGACTCGTGGCAGCCAGTATATAGACTCCATCCAGTCCCTCAACTCCATCCAGCTGGGTCAAAAGTTGATTGACAACTCTGTCTGTTACCCCTGTGCTGTCATGCCCACGGCGAGGTGCAAGTGAATCAAACTCATCAAAGAACAGAATACAAGGCTTGGCACTCTGGGCTCTGTATTAAATTTAAAGTAACAGAGAGCTTTAGATTCTAGGTATTCTAAGACGAGTACGAGATTTTCTCAAACTTGAAGTGGTGTACGCGCGTGAGCCAACACCGCGGCAAAACGCAATGCGCATGAGCACAAAATTTAATATCCGGTCAGCTTTTTATTTCCGGTCTAGTATATAAACCAATAGCGTAAGCATAACTTTGCCGTCGCGCCAAGTTTACAAGCAAAAAGGGCGAAACAGGCAAAAAAGGGGGCCCAAAAAATCACTTCATTCGAAAGCTTATATATTTTTCTATTCTCAAACTTTTGCACCACATGGTTATCTGTTTGCACCAACGGTGAAAATCATGTTTGAAGTTTGCAGTAGCTCGCGAGCGCTCGACAAGACGAATTTGTTTTTACTGGCTTTCTTGCATGCTACTGGTTTGGCATAAGTTAATTTGGGAGAAGGCGACAACTAAGAAAAGAATAACAATACTTATGAAAGAAACCAAAATAAAGACGTCATCATTATCATAAAAACACTAAAACCAGGAAATAAAATTTTAGTCCGTTCAATAATTTGTTTTATTATCAGAGAAAACAAGAACTCAAAACAAAAGATGGGCGGGATTTAATAACAACTTTGACTTTGATGACTGCAGTCACCGGGAAACTAAACATGCCTATAAATGACTTTCATTGAAGAAAATGCCTATTTAATTCTTTTACATGGTTGTTCTTTTGTTGAAGACTTCAATAATTTCAGACTGTGCGGCTCGGCTGCATCTCATGCAAACACGAAACTTCTAGCTGCTAAATACATGGCATGAAAAGTTCGACTTCTAAAAGCCACTGAACCAGCTTTCGCTCTCTGATTCTGAGAATGAAAAAATAAATAAATAGAGTTGTCAACTTGCTGCCAACCGGCTCAACAGTATAATTAAGCTTATGTTTCATGGCAATCAACCCAGAAGAGTTTCGTTTTAAAACACGGTAAAACCCACTGGTAAACAAAACTACAAAGCGATTGTGTGTTGTCGTTTTCCAAATAAAGTTTGAATCGGCTTTAACACATGTAGACTGAGAAACTGAAGAACTGAAAATTAGAACTACAATACACAAGCTTGCAATGATAACGTTTTAATTTTATGTCTTAGTTTCAGCCAGGTTAAGTGAAAAATAACAGTCAAAAACTTTATTTTCGTGAATGAAAATCAGTTTACCTGACGCTCTAGCCAAAATTACACACTGAGTTATTATCATCTTACCTTTTCTGAATCTAATCGACTAATTGTTTCAGTGATCTGTGCCTGGTTATCCATAAAAGCAATTTCAATAAGTACAAAATAGTCAAAAACACGAGCAGCATAAAGCAGAACAACTGAACCACAAGCTGCACACAGAATGAAGCCGAGAGCGCGCGGGAGACTTTGGTCTGACTGGAAAGTGTGACTGAAAAAGAGACCGGAAATGCTCAACCTGGCGCATGCGTAGACGTTTTGCCGCGGTGTTGCGTGAGCCAGTGTTATTTTGGCGGGAAAATGTGGTAGCCGTCGTCATTCTACTACGAGTTTTCGCGCGAATGTCGTGGTGGCGAAAACAAGAAACCAAATGTTAGAAGTTTTATCATTATAGTGGGATCGGGAGAGCGCGTAACCTCCTTCACTAAAGATAACAATGCTAACTTTTCTAGTGAAAAATGGTAAAATGAAGCTTTCCGGGAAGTCTATATTTTGAGAAGACGCGAAAAAACTTCAAGTCAAATCTCGTACTCGTAGTCGTCCTTGTAGGAGAGCCTTTGTCTCCCCGAGTGGTATCAGTGACCCTACCTGGCTCATGCACTACGTCCTCGAATCTAAAGGTCTCTAATATTGCTCTTGAAGAACATTCCAATACAATTGAACATCATCAATATGAACACTAAAGGAACAGCTAGGGAAGGCGAGTCAATAGCACATGTTCGTTCTAACATGACTCTGAGGCTTTCTGGTCATATTTCTATATTTGGTTGGGCTTTCTTTGTTCTCAAGTTTCTTCAAGACAATGGAATTGCAGTTTTGTCCGCTCGGAGTCATGTTAGAACTATGATATATCCCACGTGGGCTTTTGCCCTCATCAAAGGGGTGACTGTACTAAAGAGGTGGGAACATGTGAAATTCGGTATCTGTGAGAGCAGGTGAAATTGTCCATAATAGAGAGATGCCTGTATTATAGGAAGCATCGTGGATTTTGAGAAGTGGAAGTGAGCTTTTAAAAATACTGTAACTAGTCTTTATATCACTCAACATCGCATTACGTTGCACAAATTTCCTTTTCCTAAAAGGAGCTACATTGTATTTCACGACTGTTTGGTATTCATTTGAAACCGTTAAAACAGATTTGAAATCAAAGAAAACCCTTCAATAATGGCTCAGTTTTATTTGGAATTGCTCTTCTAGTGACTAAAAGCTCAACCATGAGTGCACGTCTTTGGCGTTCCATGGCCTGGATGGAAACGAATAAGCAACTTGTAAAAATTGGTCCAATTTTTTTTTTAATGTAACCTCTTAATTACCTGGTAAACATATCTCTGACTGCCTGTTCACTGGCTCCAATGTATTTACTAAGCAATTCTGGTCCTTTAATGCTGATGAAGTTGAGCCCACATTCCTTAGCAACAACACCAGCTAACATAGTCTTCCCAGTACCAGGGGGTCCGTAAAGGAGAAGACCTGACCTCATACGTAAAGGACATTTACTGAAGAGCCATGAGTACTGATGAAAAATAAAACAAACTGATTTGCAAAGTTGCAATTGTACACAGAAACACACTACCTAATAAAGTACAATGATGTGTAGGAAGAGCATTCTACAAATGGCATGTGGGCAGTTCTTTATAATAACTCCTTAAAGCTGTAAGTTTTACCTGTGTATTAATTATTTGTTTGTCCGAGAGTTACAGGTAAGTCCAAATGACTGTTACAACATCTTCTACCTTAGACTTATCAATGTCTAATTCTATTGGTACTTCAAATAACAACATTTTAGGCTTGCCTTAGGAAACAGGCCAGGTGACTTTGGATGAGATGGCTTTAGGGTGACTTAACCAGTTACCATTCAATGCATCTTATAATCAGTGTGTACCTTTGTCGGCCACAGAAGTGTTTCCACCAGAGCCCCTTTAACTGCAGACAGTCCACCCACATCACACCAACCTAACTCCCCTGCAGTGTGTAACTTGACTCCTCTCAATGCTGCAGGTGTGAATCCTTCAACAGCTTCCTTTAAGTCCTGTGCTGTAATAGCTGGGCCGAAACCTCCTTCTGTGGATATAGAGAAAATAGTTCACAGGATATAAAGCTGTTTTTAATAGTCTTTTGTTCGTTCAAATGTATAATATGTATATATTACCCTCATCTACAGTGTATTTACTACATTTCATTGAACCTCTTGAAAGAGGAAATCCATAGGACCAGAAAAAGCAGCCAAACCGGGGTAGTGCTGCTTAAAGGAGGTTAAAAAGTGTTTGTATGTAGCTGAGAATAAGCTTGTCTGCTTAGTACATGGGGTGTCTGTTAACTGAGATCAATCTACTGCACTTAACCCTTCCCTTTTGTGTTACTTTTTTTATTTTATTTCAATTCACCTTTTGAATGTTTCAACTTCCTGATTGCTGCCTTGTGAAAAGCACGGTCAAGTAGCGATCCCAAATCTTTGGGTGAAAATCCTTCTGTTTTCTTCACCAGTGAACTGAAATGAGCACACAAAATATTATATCAACACTAAATTATACTATTACTGTGTGTGATGATGACCTAGTTGACAGAGTATGCCATAAACTGCTGCTTATTAGTGTGTTCTAGGCGTTCAGGTAGTGGAGCGCTGAGTTCAGATGTGGGGGAGCGAGTTAAATTGTACGCAGGAAAAACAAGGAGAGACTGGGGCTCCTATGTTTTTTTTCCTCGTCAATTTTTTGCCCGTGCTTTAATATCTGAACACCTGGAACAGGCTAGCTGCTTATAAGCCATGGACTTATACATCTTTGAAAGGGGTTTTAGGGGGCTTATAAATGAGGGGGGGGGGGCTTATATCCCAGGGGGCTTAAAATCAGACGTTTTTTTTTTTTGCTTATAGGTAGATGGGCTATAACTGGGTGGCAGTTATAAGTGGGGTGGGGGGCTTATTAGCAGCAGTTTATGATATGGCAAAATAAATGCATCAAGGAAAGGTCAAGACAGTGGAGGTAGAACTTAAGTCAGAAAATGGGTAAATGAATAAACAGAGTTCTTATATCTTTGATCCACAATTATAGCAGTGTGGTTCATTTAAAAAGGCAGGGAACAGGGAGTATTAACAGCTCAACGAAAACCCAAAATTTAAAGTTCAGTGTCCTTCTCAAAACAAAAAGCTTAAAGGATGATCTTCGAGACTGTATGGCTATAAAGTGAAAGCATGTGATAAGTTTAGAATTTCATATCTACCTGAGTTCAAGTTCCTGAGGAAATCGCTTGTTTATCATTGCATGCAGGATTTCTTGTCTCTGATTTGCATCTGGCGGATGCAGCTCCACACAGCATTGAAATATGTGACACCCTCTTGAAGTCAGTAGTGAAGGATGCAATGAATCATGGGATTTGCTGGTTGCTATGACAACCACCCTGCTATTGTGGCCAATTTCTGCATTGACCAGATCTTTGAATACTGGTGAATGAAAGACGAAAAAATAATTTATGTTTACTTGAAAAGGCCAACAGACCCATGGAGAAATCTTTATGGACATTACATGGATTAAACAAATTTAATAATGAAATGATGTAGATTTCTAACTGATATACCTTGCTAATTGACCTAAATAATTTCTTCGAAGAGGACAGATGGCAAATTTTTTGCTCAAAAAAGTCACAACTGTTCAACAGTAGGATGCCCAAAACCTGTGCAATTCTACAATTTGTTTTGGCTTCATTAAATCCAATACTAATATTGTAGAACATTTTAGGAGGAGCCATCCCAGCGTGAGCACAGTTACTGACAAAGCATACGGGTAGGAAAACAGCCCAAAGAAAATGTAATGCATTAAATAACATACTAAATGTACACATATTTTAAATCCTCAAATGACTGATGCAAAAACATAAAACATGAATACATACAATGTAGATGGGTGAGAACAGTGTGTAACAGACAGTCAATACTTATTACCAGCTCTCACCTTGAGCAAGTCGACGCTTGTACAGAGCTTCTCCACCCATTTCTTGAAGGGCACTGGGAGCTGACACAAGTTGATCCAAATCGTCAAACAGAATAACAGAGGGTTGATACCAAGCGGCCTCAACAAACACCTGTTGCCACTGCTTCTGAATCGATTCAACTCTTTTTCCTGCAAGAAAAATACAATCCAATCACTGAACACACCCTGTAATCTATCTCTTTGCCACGTTAGGACTACCAATAAGCCTGCAAGCAAGACACTAAATGCCACCACTGCTGCCTGGTTAGCTCAGTTGGGAGAGCGTCAGTCTGCTGCGTGGGATGTGGCAGATTCAAACCCCTTAATCAACAATCAGGGTCTTAAATTAAAGAGCTGAGAAGAAAGTGCTGCCTTTGTAATGACATTTGCAGACGGTTATACTTTCTAGTCTTCTAGGATAAGGACAAAAAACCATACACTGTAGACTGTCCCACCTCACAGCACTTTCACTAATCTGGTTCTTGTGAGATGTAAAAGACAACTGAAAAGACCCCACACCACTGTTCATAAAGAGTAGGGGACATAGATTCCGGTGGTGTGGGCAACCTTTCTGGGCTGGACGGGTTATCTGAAAGGAGATCTTAATATGGGGATAACCTCATGACCCTTCAGGAGTCATAATGGCTACCTGTAAACAGTTTATGTTATGTGACCATGTAGTGTTGTTGCACATGCCTTGAAAATAACACTTTATTATGAAGTCCTTTAAAAATATCATTTAGTAGAATGATTAACACAAACCTCTGAATGGAATACAGTCCACAACAGTGATATGAGCACAGACAGGCCATTGATTAAGTTGATGGCACACTGCATGGGCAAGGGCTGTTTTGCCACAGCCGACCCCAGCTCCTGCACCACTGCCACAAATTAACAAAGCTCCACTGCGTAATCCTGTGATAATGTTCCCACCAAGGTGATTTGCTACTAGCCTCTGTTTTAAGGCAGCCAAAGCATGGTCTAGGCACTTGTGAAAGCACTCTGTCACTCCACTGTAAAAAAAAGAAACGTACAAATACAAATTTTTACTCTTCTGATCTTACACTTGTGATGTTGTGTCATGAAGGAAATGAGTTCATTTGCGGAACACCATAGTTCCCTTAAGGCCAATTAATAGGACCTCGCCTGACCCATAAAATGCTGGAAGTGGGGTGAGGGAGGGGTGACTTAATGTGCCTGGATTAACTAATAGAAAAAATGATACAAAATAAAATGGTTACTGGCTATAAATATGCAGTGTAGAGTTACTGATGTACAGGGTACTTGCCAAGCTTAAGCACAAAATAACGAAGGGCAATAGTACGTTGAATATTTAATCCTTGAGAAACTCTGTATTTAAACTACACCTGTAAATCATTATTGCATATAATAATTAAATTGACCAAACTGCTTTGAATGTATCCAAGCTTTTATATATATCATGTCCTCAGGCCCTGCTTTAGTAGCATTGTATTACTATGGTACATAAAATAACTTGATTATAACTTCTTACCCCAGATCTGCAATACTATGCTTAAGATTTTGTGCCCTGCTTTCAAGAGGACTTATCACTGGAGAAGGATTGTTCAATGAATTTGAAGGAGTTCCAGTGACAACTGTTACACTGTTAAGAGTTTCAGGGGTAAGTTGATAATATGAAAGTCTGTCTGCTGAGTTGGAGGTTTGTTCATCGTGGCTTAGTACTGTCACGACAAACTGAACAGAATGACCTGCTGCAAAATAAAATCACATAATTGAAGATTGATTATCATAACAAATGAGAACAACAAGTAATAAAAGTCAAACTTCATTATCTCAATTTCACTTCACCACACTTTCAGTTATCTCAGTTGACTACTTTTTCTGATCCCCAAAAACTACATGCCATGTCATATCATAAAATAATCAGCATGATGGTCCAAGAATATAGCTCTTTCTTTTTTCTTCTTTCTTTCTTTCCTTTTTGTTTTCATTCAAGTAGTAAATAATGTCTTTGAAAACATTTATTTTCCTTTGTAAGAGTAACAGTAGCACTCTGACATGCATTGTTCAGTTATAAGTGATAAAGTGAATTCAGTTGCTGCAGAATGTATGAGCTTCCTTTATTTCCCACTACTCTTGCTGGATGAAAGTAGAGACGAATACATCATTTATTCATATTTTTAATTATCAGCGCATATCTGGAATGCAGGCCTACCTTGAGGAATATCACAGGTCAACAACATTCCACTGCAAAGTAACAAGGGTGTCTCTCTGTTACACACAGAACATATCCACTTACGAAAAGCATCTAACACACTTGAGGATGGGATGTCCTGAAATGAAATACAGTAGGTGAACAAAAGGCTCTAAACATGTTTTTGTTAAAGTGAACAATACACAAGCAAGTAGACTTTTCTTGTTTGCAGGTTAGGAAGTTGACAAAATTGACAATACTATTTCTTACACTGACCAGAAGGAAAGAGCAATTCTCGTTACTCTCCGTACTCTCAACATAATACATGTATTATGCTGCAAAATTACACACTATCTTCACTTGATAACTTTACTGTTTTTCTGGTCGGCTTTCTTCCAAATACATGTACCGGTAACTAATGTTCCTGAGCAATCCCTTCTTCCTTGTCTTCCCTTGGTCATCTGATATCCAATCCATTTTAATTCCTGCTTTTCCATCTTTATATACCTCATGGTCACAGTGAATATTCTAGGTATTCCATTTTTTCCTAGGGCCACTTTGTTACATTTGCCATGCCCTATTTTGCTTTATTACTAGTACAATGCAAATTCAGACTGTATACAGTCTGAATTTTCATTGTAATAATTAAAGCTATTTTTTCTAGTGCCATTAGTGGTTAACATTCCATTGGTTGCCATGGCCACCTTCAAAAAAGCTTTCCTAAAATCAATTGTTGATAAAAATAATATGATTTATATTTAAATATATACCTCTTGTGTATTATCTCCAAAGGGATGTAATATAATCCCTTTGATGACTGAAGGCCCATACGAGACACTCTGAACTTTAACTAACGACAGATCCTTTGTATCAAGTAGATGTCGTAGCTCATTGGACATAACAATGTGGTGCGGTAATACATGACTTGCCACACCCAATTTGCGAGAGCCATGTTTAGTGATAGTGCTAAGGGTACTACTGCTGCTGCTTGTCATCACCATGTTTACAATCCAGTGAGAAGGTTGTATATCTGTGAGAATTAACAAATTTAAAACTCATCACTTTTGTTACCTGGGCTTTTACGGGGATATGGCACTCTCACAGGGCACTCCTACTGCTAGTTCCAACCGAAGTCTTACAGCATGCAGTAGCTTGGTCAGCTTGATATCAAGAATAGAACTTAAAACTAATTAAAAAATGTGATGGTCAAAGAGATTGGGGATTGGATTAATTGAAGTTTCTGGACAACTGACTTCCTCTCTCCCCCCAAGTCAACATTAACGCTATATACTTCTTACTTAGGGCAAAATTGTGACTTAGGGGAGGGGTAGGCGGTTAGTCACCCAGCACCGGATGTACAAACATTCACATTCGATTTGTAAAAAAATCCTTCTTTTCATACCTTGACTTGCTCTGCTCAAAGATTCAGTTTCATCAGTTACACCAGTTTCCTGTGTTATTGAATCACTGTTTGGTACTCTGTTAACTGTAGCTGCAGTGCTTGATGCAGTAGCCCTTTCTTTTGGTGACAGTAATTTAGTTATTTGCACTGTTTTTACAATTGTTCCATCAGTTGGTGGAAAGAAGTCCAGATTACAGGTCCATGACTTCAGAACTTTTGGTGGTAATGATGCAAAGTCAACAAACACTGCAGATGGCTGAAATGCGTATTTGAGTGCTGATGATTTTGAAATGTTGCTGGCCATTGAAAGTTCTGGTTGTACTCGTAACCACATATCAAAGTCAGTTTCCCCCGAAACATTTTCGTCAAGTTGAGAAGTGGATGCAAAAGTTCTTATTGTATTGCCGCCATTAGATGTACTATAAGCCAATTGAGGTTCACTGCTCTGCAAGGGTTCTAATGTCTGATTTTCATTTGTAACAGATTTGTTACCGTTAGCATAAAATAGTGTGTGAAAGTAACTAGAAAATCTGGACAAAAGGCCAGTGTCAATGACTCTAGACTGTTCTTCTGTATCTACAACACTACAAGCAGTTGTGGACGGCTGTCTGTTACCATCTGATAGACCACTTGTCTCTGCAAGCTGTTGTGCAGAGTCTGGAATCCCAGAGGTTTGACTGATTGTCTGTGAGGTGAATTGAGAGGAAGAAACAGAACCTTGTTTGACACTTTTTGTATCTCTTGTCTTTGGTGATACAACAACTTCTGTAAACTCATCAAGTCTCACACAGTTGGTACAAGGCTCCAGATCAACTGTAGGGAAAGGAGCGGAGTAGGTTAGAGGATTGTAAGTTATACTGATATTAGAAAAACGCAACTGATGCCTGTTCCTTGGATGTCAATGGAGCTATAATTATTGCCTCCTTTCTAAAAGGGGGAAAAGAGAAGAAGGAAGATTGTAATTATACAGATCAGCTTCTGTAATGTTATGTTGACTAATTTTCATTGTTTTCAATACTTACTTTTCCCTGCCTTGAATAGCATTTCTTTGCTAATTTGCAGGGCAATATGTGTAAATACAAAGTATTGTTTGTTTGTTGTTTGTTTGATTGACTGGAAATGAGGTGTGACCATTGAAACGAAACCTTTTTAATCAGTACGCTTTTCACAAATATTTTTATACTTTTTTTTAAATCCAGTTAGAGAAGACTTTTTACCATAGATAGGCATTCATGCAATACATGCACCTATCAATCTGCATTATTTGTTTGTTTTGATTTGTGTAAGCCCAAGGGATCTGATGTAGGGGACTAAAAGCACACTAAAAAAGACCCCATGAAAGAAATGATGTTGTTGTAATATACTATGCTGAATGGAATCCTCTCTACACACTTTAAAGAATACTCTTCAGATTTTATTTCTTTTCCCCACACCACATAAAGAAAATTTCATTGAAACCTTCTCAAACTTTTACTTACTGTGGACCAACATTTACCATCTTCCACAAACATTGATCTACCTTACCAATTTGAACAACCACACATGTATTATTTTGAATCCAGATTGGAAGTTTCTGATGCGGAAACACCACACGCACTTGGTTAAGAAGATGGCTTTCAATATATCCAGCATGAAGTTCCTGACAAATCAAAACATGAAATAAAACTTTATCTGATTAGAGGTGCTTGTAAGTGCCATCATTTTGACCACTACAGTACTGTATATAATGTTGCAGGTCAAAATTAAATTCAGGTTAACATTAACCTAGATTGATTCTAAGTTTCCTTTGTCTTCCAGCTCTAATTCATGAATAATCAGGGCTAGGAGACAAAAAAAAAATGGAAAATCAACCTAGGTTAAAAAATTTTAACCTGAATATAACTTTTACCCGTAACATAAACCTCTCTCCTCCACAGAGGCTCCCAATGGGTATTCCAATAAAAATTTAGCAATAATTAAATATAAGTTAGTGCTGTGGAGAATCTTCCATTCATTTTGCCTTTTCCAAAGACTTCCGATTACAACACCACAAGGCCTGACTGCAGAGGATAGAGACTGTATGCCAAGTACCTTAAACAAACAAAAAACCCCATTAAACCCCAAATTTTTTATCATTTGATGATTCTTCGGTAGTCCTGCAAGGCCACAGGTACCTTTACTAGTATGACTCCTTTTCACACTATATAGAACCTGAGAATTTTTAAACTTCTTTGAATTTATTAATAAAATCATTAGTGTTCACAGTTTTCAAGTAGCCTCTGGATGTTGTCTTAAACAACTTACCAAGATTTCCCAGTCATTGGCACTGAGTGGATCTACGCTGATTCTGTTGCATGATGGGATGCTAAGAACAGGTTCAACAAGGACCTTGAATGACATCAACAAAAAAGAAAAATACCAACATCAGGTCACAATAATGACCATAAAAACTCTTGTTAGCCTGAAATTCATGGAGAGAGTGACTTAGCGGGCAGAGGAGGCAGCTAAAATTCAGGCTAAATTCTCCTTTCCTAACTCCTTTACTACTGCACGTGGGGAAAACATTTGTAAAAATTTCACATGAATAAAAGTTCACACCATACAGGATTTGAAAACAGACTTAAATTAATGATTTTGTCATTAAGAAGAAATTTCTTCAAGAATGTTGCAATTCATAGCAAGTAATTGGCAAATTAAGCAGAACAGCTTCCACTGCCATGATATAGTTCCTTCCTTTCTAGAGCACCTTTATCTGGTTCGGACAGAGAAGGCAGCTACTGCACAGCCTGGGTGCACAGCGGCCCTACAAATTAAATACAAAGATAAAAAGGAAAGTAATTTTCCTGGCTGACTGAAATGTTTCTTTATTACGTATTACCTGTTGATCCTTATCCAGTCCCAGTGAATCAGCAAACTTTTTTCCAAGTACAACAACAGAAGAAGACCCAGTTGAGAGATCATGCTTTTTGCTGTGAATAACTTCTCCAGACCAGCTAGTAAAAGCACTGCCATTTTCCCACTGTAGTCGAAGAGCAAATGGTTGCCCCTATAAACAGTTTAGGAATTGCCAACAAATACTTTACAAACGATCAAACTCAACCTACTTTTAAATGACTCCTGGGTCCACACCTTTCACAGTAAAAAATAAGTGTTACAAAACATATGTCAGGAGAAAAATAGTGGGGGCTTTTTAATCTCCTGGTAGAATTTTTTTTCCAGTCACTGCCATCTTGGTTCTGCATGTTGGTAAATTCAAATGCTCTTCTTAATTGCCTCAATTATGGCAAAGTTTGAACAAATTCTATGAGAGCATTTTCGAAATATTTTGAAACGAAGTTTTAAGAATCATAAAAACAGTGAAATAGCATGCTATCCACACATGTAGCTAATTTTTTAAGAAAATGATAAGCTTTGGAAATGCGACTACATCTCATAGTGGTTTGATTCCATTAAAAACTGTGTACAAAAAAAGAGGGGAATAATTGCTCTAGGCAATTGCAAGTAAGAAGAATTTTATCAACTTGCATTCAGCTGCTTTTGTTACAGATTTTGTCTCCCAGTTAGAGCACCAAATCTTTCGGGAAATACCTACTGGGCCTTTTTCAAAACTTTTTCATTAATTTCTTTAGTTTTGAGATGTCAAAAAGGAAAATAAAAAAAGAAATGGATTTAGTGCTCTTATTAGAGCTGTTCTCGATTGGAAAACATAAAACAGAGCAATCAAATTGATATCGAGTATAGTAATTGGTCAGAAATCACCCAATCAAATTGAACAATACATTGTAGAAAGTTGGCGTGGTTTTTGCACCCTGTTATGGATGTCGGGAACATTCATAAGGCCTTCAGGTGATTCTCGGAGAGTATTCAGACATTGTCGAAAATGACATTCTTACAATACAAAGACTTCTAGACGTCTCCAGATTTTTGTATTCCGGAGGTTGGTAGGTATGATATAGGGTGCACTATGTGAATTAAGGGTACTGAATGAAAAATGGATTATTATAAAAAATAAAGAAAAGAAAAAGTATGTAGCTCAACAAAGAGCATATGTGACTAAGAAACAAGGAATTGTTTAAGTCTTATGCCAAGCAAAACCGATACTTTCGATTCACTGTTTTTTTTTTTTGCTCTAGGCAATAAAGCAGAATAAAGAAAAATTTCTCAAGACACACCTGAACTCTCAGTCCTATTGCCTCCGCAAGGTCCCCGGACAAACTTGCGAAGCAGGTTTTGGAGGAACTTGTTTTCAAGCAAGCCGATCTGATTCGATTCATTCCTGTGACCTCCTCTGTTTCTCTCTAGCCGCCGTTCTAGCCGCCGTTCTAGCCGCCCCGTTCAGACTGTCCCCCGTTCGCCATTTTCAGCTGCGTGTGAACTGCAGGCTCAAGAAAGAATTGCCCTGCGAAAGAGGTTGCCTCGACTTGACGTAGTTGACGTCTTGAGTCGATGGGTCTTCAAGGGAAAGAGAAAAAAAGTTGGAGTTACCAGTATCATGAGTTCGAGATATCGGGGGTAAAATGATCTGAAGGGAAATGAAAATTGCCTCGAGTTAGCGGGAGGTTCGAGTTACCGGGAGTCGACTGCTGTTTTTTTTTCTTTTTGTCACACAAAGTTGGTATCTTGGTAGTAACAAGTTTTTCAGTACAGTACAGTATGTTGTCCTTGGTCCGGTTTTTCTCTGTGATGTGATTTTTGGGACGAATTAAAGGTTTCAATACAAACGAAAACTTCCGCGGCGGACCCAGGGGGAGAGTCCGGGGGGTTCGGACCCCCTATGACACCTGACGCTTGTTTGAGACTGAAATTCTCAGGCCTTCTTACATCGACAGGATCGTATTTTAACGATAGTCTGAAACTGGTCACTCGTCTCCACCCTCTAACTCGGGCGCCCCACGGGTCAGGGGGTGGAGACGTATGACATTTCAGACTATTTTTAACTGGCTGACTTCCAGGGATATTCAAAAATGTAGTTGTTTTGGGGTACCCTCCTATGATCTGTTTACCCCCGCCGACCTGTTAGACCCCATCAACTGAAACTCGAATCCATTTTTTTGGAGACCGTCCCCCCTTTATCTCAGGGTCTGGATGACCGAACTTATCTCAAGGTCTGGATCCGCCACTGTATTAAAACATAGCATTGTGGAACGTATTTTAGTATTTAAACCGTAGATAGTATAGGCATATTTTTATCCTCTACAAAATTGTTCGGATCCGAAAATTATAGGTATCAAAACTCACCTTTTCGAAAATTTCAGCCAGAAAAAAGGCTCCCGGAAATTCTAGGTGACCTTTTTAGGGTAAAAATCCGTTAAAAATGGGCAATTATATCATTTTTTAGATGTTCGAAAATCCTAGGAGAGGCAGGCAAGCAAGAAATTTTACAACAAATGTTTCGAAAATTCTAGATCTCAAATAGCCTTCCGAACAGATTTTTTCCGAAAATTGACGTTGGATGCCCCTATTTAGATTCTGGGACGAGTCTCGACTACGAGTACGAGATAAATGTTCTCAGTGCTAAGTAGTGCTCTTACGTGGATAGGCTTTTGTACATTATGCTTTTGCTTCCCTACTAAAATGCTCCACCTTAATGCTCCATTTTCCCCACGAAAATGCTCGGTCTCCCCAAAAAAGTCACTAAAATGCTCGGATAATGCTCATTATACAAACGGTTTCTTTTAATTAATGTCAAAGTTTACACTTACAAAAACGTGTAAGTAACAACGACAACGTGTACAAGTTTATAAATACAGCCAAAAAAACCAGCTGTATTAGGTTTTTGTGAATTTTGAGTTCTAGTCTTCATTTTGTTTAAAAAAGCAGGAGCTCAAGGGGCATGGGCTCCTGAAAAAAGTTAATTTCTATTTTATTTTCTTGGAAAAATTAATTTTCCGGGAAAAATGCCACTAAAATGCTCGAATAATGCTCAATGCTTTTGCCTCACTAAAATGCTCGAAAAAATGCTAGCATAAAAGCCTATACGTGGAGCCAACGTCATTTTGGCGGGAAAACGTGATAGTCGTGTCATTCTACTGGCGGGAACAAGTTTTCAGAGAAGTTTAATTATTCTGCGACCGGGAAAGGGCTAAACCTTCTCCAATAAAAATAGCCGCATTAGCCTGTGAACAGGCCTTTGGTCGAGCGGGGAACTTTAACTTCCCTTTCCTTGCTATTTTTTTCGTCAAACAGAGAGCCTGTTCACAGGCTATAAGCGCATTAATTTTTCAGGTGAAAGCTTTCCTGGTTGAATATTTTTCGAGAACACGCGCAAAAACTTTAAATTAAATCTCGTCAGTACTCGCATCGTTCTCGTCCTCAAATCTAAAGCTCTCTATTATAATTATCATTGTTGCTATTATTATAGGCATTATTATTATGGTGTATGCTTCACGGCAAATAGTTATAGCCCCAGTAGCCTTTGGACTTGTCCGGTTTTTGAAACAATGGCCATTTGTTTCATCTCCAGACGTTTACGTCATTCAATCAATAGCCGCACCCATGACATGCAACACATCGCCTTCGCCAAACAGATGATCGTTTGCTCCTGTGGAAACATTCAGTTTTTCAAGTTCCCGTCAATACAGGTTTGTTTTTTGTACCATGTTATGAGAGGCTTTTAAAAAGGATGTCAAGAATAGATCAAGATCACGTTATATCGCAATTCCTTTCCTTGTGTAGAAGTCTGATCTGTGGTCTTGCGATAACACGCGCTCACATTGTCAGCTATGATTTGTATTTAACAAAGTGATCGAATACTAATATAATGCTCAAATTGAACGTTTGATCGTTTGCCGTGTAGGAAGGTACCTGCATGGACGCGAGGGACTTACAATTACTGCAATTAATATGTGACAAATTAACAAATTGCTCAAAGAGCACGTGAAAGTGAAAGAGAAACAAGCCAGAAGAAGCTTGTAGCATTGAGAGAACCTTTTGAAGCAATATGTAAACTCTTAGACCGTTTTAATGTCCGGTTTCGGTTTCTAATAATGATAGAGATTAAATAAGGTGTTACTTGCAGCAAAATGCACTGGGAATTAAAAGTTTTTCAGAAACAAGAGTTCGTCGGTGTTGACGGTTTGATAATTACTAGTTATAGTTGTCACTAAATCTGCCCCCGACCTTTTAAAACCCGAATGAAGACTCCTTGTGGTTGTCCATGTATTTGCCATGAACCTTTGAAATGCAGTTTTCGTATTAGAGTTTCTGAGTGTAATTCTTTTGTTCTCTTTTGTGTTTTCTCAATTATTACACTTTGTTTCCTGGGTTAATGAAAATCCTCATACATTATTTGCCTAGGATGGACAATTGTTTTTTATACATCTCATAATGAGTTCACCCAACACTGCAAATGTAATAGAACGCGTGTTAAACAGCAAAACCATCTTTAATTATCTATTTGTAACTAAATTTCCTATAACTAATGTGTCGAACGGATGCTTTGGCCTCGAGTGTGACATTCTTGAACGCAACGTCGAACGCGACTGATATAAATGATTTCGCAATAAACTAACCCTACAAAAACATGGACCACTGTTTCAAGTTTCTCACCTTTGAGATATTTCCCAGTTCA